GCATCGGGCAAGACAGGCAGAGGAGGCATGAACTTCCAAACACCCTCCAGTGCAGGGCTAAGAACATTGACACCTTTCCTCCCACTTTCTAAGTTCTTCTAGCTGAGCTAATCGTCAAATTAACAGACAGGTCAGCAGGAGAAAATTAAAGTTGTAACACATGTTCCTGGGGAATTCAAACAAATGTGGAAATTCCAAAGACAGTGAGGCAACATTGGATATATCAAGCAATTTTGGACAAAGGAGAAGGGGGTGGGAGGCTCAGAAACAATAGGGCATAGGTATCTAGCTACCAGGCACCTGCCTGAGCCCTCTTATCTACCATACTTCATTCAAATGAGCCTAAAACAACATTTTAAGATCGCCTTCCCAAAGCAAGTTTTTCTGTCTGAATCTCTTGGGCAGGAAAAGGGGAGGGTCAAAGGTTCTTCCTGAGTCTTTTGTTTCTTAATCAATAGCTTAAAATGAATATCCCCAAAAGCAGGTTCAGGGGGGCAGAACTTTGGTTCCTTTCACCAGGTGTACCACCCTCCCCACATGTACATGTGTTCACTTACCAGGAAGCTCTCACTGTGGTTGGGATTTTCATGAAGGTTTCGCTAGGTAGGTATGATTGATCATATCACTGGCCATTAGTGATGAACTCAATCTCCAGCTCCTCTCGCCTCCCCAGAGGTGCAGGTGGGGCTGAGAATTCCAACCCCCTAAGCACAGGGTTGTCTCCCCAATGATCAGCCCTCTTAAGAGGCTTTTTAAAAGTTACATCATTAACCCAAACTCATTTGTGGTTGGAAAGGGCTGGTGATAAATAACAAAAGATCCTCCTTTCACTTTGATCACCAGGGCTATTTTAGGAACCGAGAAAAAAAATATTTATTATAACAAAAGATGTTCCTTTCACCTCTGATCACTTAGAAAGCTCTTTGCTGGGGAACTGGGAAGGTCAAATGTATTTCTTATTATATCGCAGTATCACAGGGGCACAGTTGGGACAGGATGTCTTTCAGGACATGCGTTGCTGGAGAGCTGGTTCAGGAAGACTTCTGCAGGGGCGAAAAATTTTCTGTTCTGTCCCTTCTGCGTTCTTTGGCTGGTCTAATAACTAAATGGATATAAAACAGATTAACAGAAGAAAAATAAATGTAATCGCATATGGATGGTAGCCCCATAAAACTACGAGACCCAAAAGGCAGCCAGGCAATTGAAGCTTATTTAACATTCTGAGCTCAGGAAAGGGGTAGGAGGCTGGGGACGCAAAGGGGAGGCAAGCCATTCACAGGAAGACCGAAGAAATGTTTGGGAAACAAAGGTTGCCCTGTTATGCAGGTGCGTTTCTTAGGTAAATAGGTCCTCTGGTAATAGCTGTGTTCTTGGTACCGGCCTCTTTCCCAATGTACATTTAGGCAGTTGAGGGGAAGGAAAAGATCTCTACCTGAATCGGCTGAGCTTTCATGGTCTTTAGCTCAAAATAACGCTCCTGCCAAAGTGGCTTATTTTAGGGTAGCAAATTCTGCTCCCCTTCACTTCCTTCTGCTGAGGGTGTGTGCATGATCTCTGCTGTCTCTGGCAAGCTCGAGATCATCCTTAGACCAGCAATGGGAACCTGGTGGGCGGTCCACTCAGCACACTCCTTCGACACAGAAAAGTCGGCCAGAGGAGAGAAGCAGAGAAGAGGCAGGCGTCAGATGGCGGTTTGTGAGTGGCCGCCTGATTATTACTGTGACTGTAACAGAATAAAACGCTTCCTCTTCCTAATGGCCTGCAGGCTAGTAGCCCCTGGTGAATTCTGCTTGAGGCGTGAGCAGCCTCTTAGTCAGCAAAGAGGTAGGAAAATACGCAGAAAGTAATGATTTTTTTTTTTCAAAGATTCACAGGCATCTCCATAACTGGCTTCAGATCAGCAGAGGTCAATAAACCAACCTGAGCAAAGGGATTAAGAAATGTCGCCCTCTTCCCTGGGTTCCTCTGAACACCCACCTGTCTATGGCCGGCACCCAGTCCCCGGCCTCTCTCCTCCTCCCTTCCCTTAACAATAAAAGATGCCTGGATTCCAGATTCTCTTAAGATGGATCTGAGAATTAGTTGTTCCATTTTCTCAAGCTAGGCCTTCTCAATCAATCAATCTTTCCTTGCTCCAAACTCTGATCTATTGAATATTGGCCTTTCTTTTGAAGCATCAGGCACACAAACCTTGGGTTTGTAACACGATCAGAGGCTCAAGACACCAGCTCCGGAGTGTACCATGGAGTGGAATTGTTATCTGACAAAGTGTGTGTGTGTGTGTGTGGGGGGGGGGGTGTCCTTTTCCCCACTGGGTACTGGGAATGGAATCCTTACAATATCTCCAGAAAAAGAATTTTCTGAGACTCGCACGGGAGAATGAGTGATTTTCATTTGCATGGAATTACATCCCTGGGTTTCCAAAGTCCCGTTTCTCTTGGTCCAGTCATGGAAGTGTAGCTGGGGTTTCAAGTAAATCTGACCTCAAAGCCAGTGTCCAGAGTTGCCTTCCCATGTTGGAGCCAGGTCCAGTTCAGTATCCGGCTAGCTGCAGCCCCTTAGCCCACTGTGTGGGGTCCACACGGCCATGGGCCCCACGGGGGAATGCGGGAGCACGTGCCCCGAGCAACAGCAGTCCCGCTGGTTCCGGAAACACAAGAGCACAAGCGAGGGAACTCCTTTGTTCAAGGAGTCAAATGTCCCAAATTTCAAGCCCTCACAGTGGCCATGCCCATTCTGGCCAATGACCTTTGTTCTCAGGTGTGACTGACAGAAAGAGCCTTTCGTATGTCCCCCCAACTTTACTAGGTGTGCGTCTTTGTTGGACTCCTAGGGAATGTCAAGTTGTAGTTTCCTGGTGAAGCTGTCTAAATGACATGCCTGTAATAGCTGGCTACCCCTTTTGCTCCTTTCCTGTTATTAATAACTAAGTTAACGACAACAGTATCAGAATCAGACTCACTACTACCTAGTGAAACTGCTGCAGGTTGATGGTTCTCAAACTTGAAGGTGCATTAGAATTACCTTGGAGGGATTTACCTTGGAGGGATTTGAGGGGAACCATTATTTTGTCACCCTGAAGCTGCTTTTTGGGATGCTAATTTTATTTTTTAATCCTTACCTGAGGATATTTTTCCATTGATTTTTTTTTTTTTTTTTAAGATAGAGTGGGAAGGAGGGAGGGAGAGAGAGAAACATCTATGTGGGAGAGACACATCAGTTGGCTGCCTCCCTCATGACCCCAACCCCCAACTGGGGCCGGGAATCCAACCCAAAACCAAGGTATGTGCCCTTGACAGGGAATCAAACCCATGACTCTTTGGTCCGTGGGCTGACACTCTAACCGCTGAGTCAAACTGGCCAGGGCTGGAATACTAATTTTAAGCTGTTCATGAAGAAACAAGGACTCAGAAAAAAACTTTGACCCTCCCCCCCCTTTTCCCGAGCAAGAGATGCAGACAGAAAAACCTGCTCAGGAAGGAAATCTGAGGATGTTCACTTTTTTTTTTTTTATCCTCACCCGAGGACATTTTTCCATTTTTTATTCAGATAGAGTAGGAGGGAGAGAGAGAGGAAAATCGACGACCACCACCGGGGACAAACTGCAACCAAGGTACATGCCCTTAGCGGGAACCGAACCCGGGTCTCTCTGGACCGCAGGCCGACGCTCTAACCGCTGAGCCAAACCGGCCAGGGCTAAGGATGTTCACTTTAGGCTAACTTGAATTAAGTGTGGTAAGTAGAGGGCTTCAGGCAGAGTCCTGTTAGCTAGATCCCCCTGCGCCCCACTGTTTCTGAGTTGCCAATAAGAGTTTGCCTGCCGAGTGTGTTCTCTCTACTCCTCAACTCCCTTGAAATCACCCATTCTCACTTCTGAATTCTAAGACCCTGTCTCCACCCTCCTTCTCCTTTGTCCAAAATGTCTGATATACCTAGTGTTGCCTCACTGTCCTGGAATTTCATGCTTTGGTGAGTTCCCCACTCACATGTATTAAAAATTTGTTTTTCTCTTGTTAATGTCTACATTAACTTGATTATTAGTCCATCTAGAAGAATTTAGAAGGCAGGAGAGCAAGTATTAACTTTTTTAGCCCCGACAGTTGTGGTAAGCCAGCGAGGGGTTCGCCGGCTGGGACACTGTTGGCTCCCGGACGGCTGCAGCTGGAAGATCCTGCGTGTGTGACCACAGCCAGCGGAGGGTAAGCGTCAGCCTTCCTGATCTCTTACTACAGGCTTCCGTGGAATTTACAAGTGGTGATCCTCTTTTTCTCTTTCCTAAATTTAGATTGTTAGGAGAAACTATTTGTGAAACTAGCTTCTTGGACATAGATCCTTTCCTCCTGGAGATGGTTATTTTTTTCTTCTGTCTTTTATGTCATTTGTCATAAGAAGAAAACACAGGCATAGAATCCCTGTAAGCCTGTTTGAGTCTTATTATTATTATTATTGTGTTAATCCTCATCTGAGGATATATTTTCCAGTGATTGTTTTAGAGAGAGTGGAAGGGAAGGAGGAGGGAAAGAGAGAGAGAAGCATCGATGTGAGAGAGATACATTGACTGGTTGCCTCCTACACATGCCCCAGCAGGGACCAGGGATTAAACCTACAGCCCTTGACTGAGAATGGAACCCACAGCCCTTCGGTGCTTGGGTCAACGCTCTAACCACTTAGCAACAATGCCCAGGGTATCAACCCTTATTCTTAAATACAGGTTTCTGAGTATGCTGGCTGCAGCAAAAGTGCACCAGGTGTTAGTCTTGTGGAGACAGACTGGACCTCAGTTCAGCAACCTCGGTATTTGAATTCTGGCTAAGAAGAAATTCAGAGCCAAGACTCAAACTTTAAGAGAAAGTTTATTTATACAGTCACAGGTAGAAGTGAGTGGTAGAAGAAATGGGCTCAGGAAACAAGCTATAGAGGCAAAAGAAGGGCCCTTGGAGCTTAGGAGAGAGAAGGGGAAAGGCAACACAGCTAGAGGGAAGAAGAGGGGGCGGGGAGAGAGGGAAGGGAAAGGCTTGGGGTGTGCTCCCAGAGGGAGAGGATGTTGGATCCCCAGTCCCAAGGACTTTGAAGGGTGGGGATTTTAGAGGAGGTCCCAATGGAGGATCTTAATAGAATATTCATCGGCTTTTTAGGTGTGTCTTTTCAGGGTCCTGGTATCCACCAGGGCAAGGGGGTCATTAGGCAATGCAGCTGGTTCTGATGTCAGCCATGGTGTCGCTTGTTTGGTTTTGCTGCTTTTCTGAGCCTGGAGCTGAAACACAACTGAGGCCTAGAGGTAACTGATGTAGATCAGAACTACATTGTCCTGGGGGTTTAATGCCTTTAGGCTATTCTCCCGCTCCCTTGTTTATTTCCTCTGTAAAGGGGTCTAACCTGCATGACTAGCAGCATGCCAGGGGAGAAAAGGTCAGGGTAGAACCTGAAGCACATGACCACTTATATGAAAGATCAGGGGGTCTAAACCATGTGACCAGCGATATGCTAGAGGAGGAAAACTCACCCTGGGGGTGAGATCCTTCTTTTTCCAGTTTTGCTCTGTTGCTAGGCACCCGGGACTTCCCACCCTGGTGACCTCTGTACCTGGCCCATCATCCTTGTCTGTCTAACTGCCTATGACAAGAATGAATTTTCAGATCATCCCTTTAAATTGGATGAAGATTTATAGAACTCCAAGGAATAACTGGATTCATGAGATACTGGCATGCTCAGGTTGAACAAGAATTACTTTTATGGGACTGGATGAACTGAGGGTAATTATAATTTTTGTGCCTTTTTATTTGAAATATTGCTGATGTTTCAATCTTTTTTGTTTTCCAACTATGATCGAAACTTGTTTTTCTTAAAATAGTTTGGTAAATTTTAACTTCGTAAGCAGTTGAAACATTTATATTTCTCTCCCTGCCTGATTCCTCCAGAATTTGGAAACACTTACAAGCGAGAATTATTATATTCATGACTATATACTTGTTTGCATAACTTTTATAAGAATCTGTTCTCTTTATAATAGATCACAATTTGGAAATTGGTATTATTGATCAAGGCTTTGAATGGAATGTCATATTTGAAAGAGACATGCATAGACTTGGATGTCACCAGGAAGCTTTAAGGAATTAAGATTGACATTGGAAGCCAATAAAAACCCCTTGGAAAAAACAGCCCAGTACCTTGCTTACATGATTCACAGCAGTATTTCAAGGTGGGAACAAAGGTTGCTTTTCTGGGAGACGGCAAAGGAAGACCCTCAGGACATTTGGGAGACCTTGAGAACCTGAGGAGTTCACTCAAAGCTATACACATTGCAGAAGTCTGATGGCAACTAGGTGGCTTGGCTTCTTAGCTTTGAGTACCTATAAATTTGGACAAATTCTCTTTACCTGTCAGTCTGGAGTTTGTGCCAAGGACCAGGATAGTGCTCCTGGAAGGGCCTTGTGATCACTGACTCCACAGTGCCAATCTCACTTCCTTGAAGTCTCTTGCAATACCTTATTAAAGGAGCATCGTTCTCAAAAATGACTTCCAGGCCTGAGTTGCATAACAGAATTTCTCAGTTATATCTTGCTGGAAGTGTTACTGGCAAGACAATGAGACCTTGGGTCTTATCTTCTTGAAGTGAAGATTTCAATCAAGAGGCAAAGTGCAGCAAAGCAAGCAAGAATTTATTGGCGCAGCAAAAACACACTTAGGACAGTGAAATGAAGAAAGGCATAGAAGCAGCAGCAGGAGAGCCCAGGCTGGGCTGCTTTGGCTCACTGAGAAGTCAGAGAAAAGGGGGCCTTGGAGACAGGTTCAGGGGTTAGCCTGGGACAAGCTGCCACTGCCCTTTGCTCCCCTGGTTGCAAGTCTGGTGGGGTCCATGAGAGGGAAGAAGGGGGGATGGCGTGGGCATGCTTTTCTGGAGGACAGCACACACTGGGCCCTTTGTGTTGAGGTCATTTCTCTCTCTCTCTTGCAGGTGGGAATCAGGTGAGGTGTCAGGGGAGGGTCTCAATAGAATATTCTTCAGCTTTCCAGGTGTGCTCTTTCAGGGTCATGGTTTCTACTGATTGACTGGAGGGAGGCGGAGCGGGGGGTCATTAGTCAATGCAGCTGGTCCTCAGGCAGCCACAGCATCACTTGTCTGGTTTTGCTGCTTTTCTGAGCCTGTAGCTGAAATACAACTGAGGCCGAGATGTTATCTTTAGGGAGGAAGAGGTCAGGGGGTCTAAACTGCATGACTAATGATATGGAAAGTCAGGGGGCTCAAACCACATGACCAACAATATGCTAGGGGAGGAAAGTTACCCTGGGGGTGAGGTTTTTGTTTTTCCAGTTTTGCTCCTGTCTAGGCATCTGGAACATTCTGCCCTGGTGAGTCTCTGTATCTGGCCCATTGGCCTTGCTCTGCTCATGTCTGTCTAATGCCTATAACAAGAGGAGGATATGTTCTTAAAGGATTGTATTAGTTTCCTATTGCTCCTGTAAGATCACAAAGGTTATGGACTAAAATCAAGGGACTGCATTCCTTGTGGAAGCTCTGGAGAAAATGCATTTCTTTGCCTTTTCCAGCTTCTAGATGTCACCCGCCTTCCGAGCCTTGTGGTCCCTTCCCCCACTTTCAAAGCCAGCAATGTAGCTTCTCCAAAACTCTCTCTGACCTTTGACTTAGCAGAAAATAGTCAAATAGACATACAAATAAATATAAAAAAGACTAACAAAGAATAAATCTCTGTAATCCATAATCCCTCTACAGAAATCACTAGTCAGGCCGTAAACCAAATTCTCAGTCATTGCTATCACCAACGGGAGAAAAACGTTTTGGCTATAAATGAATCAAAACACAAAACTAAGAGACATAGAATTAAAAGTAGAACAACAGAGAGAAAGCAAAGTTTTATTGTCACTCTATTTTTATTTATTTATTTTTTAATCCTTACCCAAGGATATGTTTATTGACTTTAGAGAGACAGGGAGGAGGGAGAGAGAGAGAGAGAGAGAGAGAAACATCGATGTGAGAGAGAAACATCAATCAGTTGCCTCCCATACACACCCAACCAGGGATCAAACCCGCAATCTTTTTGGTGTACGGGATGACACTCCAACCCACTAACACACCCAACCAGGGCTATTGTCACTTTAAATTCACTTCTAAAACTCAAGAAAAGGTATGCCTAGACTTTAGCTGTACATGCGGTGTACCATTTCTATTGCTGGAGTTCTCCTAGCTTCGTCAGTTGAATCCATTGGGCATCTCATGGAAGAGCTCTAAAACTGCTAGAGGATACTTTAAAAAAAAGTAAAATCCTGACTCTCATTCAGATATCAAATGAATATATGTTAAAGATTTTATTTAATTTATAATTTACTGAGGAAACCAGACAAATGTTACAACCAATTCAAAGAAGAATCTAAGGACCAGACATATTTACAGATCAGGAATATTGAAATGAATTTACAAATAGATACAAAACTGATGTTTTCACAGTGGAGGAGAGGGCTATCTCCAAACCATATATAATTTATTTTATTTATTGATTGATTGATTTTAGAGACAGAGAAAGGGAGGGAGAGAGAGAGATAGAAACATCGATGAGAGAGAACATCGATTGGCCGCCTCCTGCATGTCCCTAACTAGGGATCAGGCCCACAACCTGGGGATGTGCCCTGATTGGGAATCGAACCAGTGACCTCTTGGTGCATGGGTCGACGCTCAACCACTGAGCCACACCAGCCGGGAGATATAATTTATTTTCATGTCTACTGTCAAGGATTGTTGGCATGCTATTGCTTTGCTACAATATACAAAGTTGTCAGAGTCTGATCACTTCCTTGGAGGCACCAGCATCCCATCGGCAGGATAGTCAGTAGTTCCTTTGGCTTATTTCTAAGTCTTAAATGTTTCTTACAGTCTTCTTGACTCATTTCTTCAATAATAATACATTTTTACAAAATGAGAGGCTGGTGTGGTTAAATGTGCAGACCAGTGGTGAGGGTCCACCGTTTACAGCTGTGCGGCCTTGGGAAAGTGACCAAGTCAGCAAAAAATGGCCCAACGCTGGCTGCCTGATTTTGTACAGCCCTTCAGCCTAGAATGGTTTTTATTTTTTTTATTATTATTTTTTTTATCCTCACCCAAGGACATTTTTCCATTTTTTGTTCAGATAGAGCGGAAGGGAGAGAGAGGAAGAGAGAGAGAGAGAAACATCGATGTGAAAGGGACACATTGAGTGGCTGCCACCCGCACGATCAACCAGGGCCGGGGACAAACTGCAGCCGAGGTACGTGCCCTTAGCGGGAACCGAACCCGGGTCTCTCTGTACCGCAGGCCGACGCTCCAACCGCTGAGCCAAACCGGCCAGGGCTAGAATGGTTTTTAAATGACTGGGAAAAAACAAAAATAAAAAATACTCTGTGACACATGAAAATTGTAGAAAATATAAAATTCAGTGCCCCAAAAAGTTTTATTAGAATACAACCATGTTCATTTATTTGCCTGTTGTCTACTGCTGCTTTCATGCTACAACACAATGTCAACTGTGACAGTGACCACACGCTGCAGAGCCTAAAATATTCACTATCTTCTTCTTTACAGGAAAAAAAGTTGCCAGTCTTTGCACCCTCTGTACTAAACTTCTCCAAGCCTTCATTTCCTCATCTGTAAAATGAAGATAAAAAATGGCACTGACATCTTTGAGTTGTGGTGAAAATTAACTGAGGTAATATAGAGAAAGCCTGGACTAGAGTAAACCCTTAATAAGTCTTAGCTAATCAAAACATCTCCCCAGCCTGGCCAGTGTGGCTCCATGAATTGAGCATTGTCCCATGGTCTGAGAGGTCCTGGTTCGATTCCCGGTCAGGGCACATGCCTGGGTTCCAGGCTCGATCCCTAGTAGGGGGTGTGCAGGAGGCAGCCAATCGATGTTTCTCTCTCACATCAACGTTTCTATCTCTCTCTCCCTTCCTCTCTCTCTAAAACAATCAATAAAAACATATTTTTTAAAATGTTAAAAAAAACAAAACAAAAACACTTCCCCAAAGTTGTGTATGCTAGAAAAAAAAAATTTTTTTTTTATCCTCACCTGAGGACATTTTTCCATTTTTTGTTCAGATAGAGTGGGAGGGAGAGAGAGAGAGAGAAACATCGACGTGAAAGGGACACATCAAGTGGTTGCCACCCACATGACCCAACCAGGACCGGGGACAAACTGCAACCGAGGTACGTGCCCTCAGCGGGAACCGAACCTGGGTCTCTCCAGACCACAGGCTGACGCTGTAACCGCTGAGCCAAACTGGCCAGGGCTATGCTATAAAATTTTTATAGATGCCAGGACATAAATGTTCCCTATTTCTTTTGGGATTGGTGAGTTACGATGTTATAAGCCTAGAATTGTCTGCAGTTATACCTACCTCCCTGTCTCCTCCATTAAAAAACAATAAAAATCATCTCATGTAGCTTACAGTTATTGAGCACATTTTATGTATCAAGCACTGTTATGAGTTCCTTACACACATGATCTCACTTAATCTTTACAACAACCTAATAAGGTAGGTATTACTGTTTCCCTACTTCACAGATATGGAAACTGAGACTCAGTGATTTATTCTAGGTACTGGGACAGCCAGGTGCCAACCTTGGCCGTCCGACTGGAGAGCCATCCGTGTGTGCAGCCGCCCGCGTGGGGACTCCCGCCTACCGAAGGAATGAGGCCTGTGTGCTGATAGGGCCAACTCGTGAGGTGGAGAAAAGAGAGGCCTGCTAAGAGCCCTACCTCTGTTCTCTGTTGCCTGTTTTGGTTTTACTTAATCTGAGTTTGTTTTCTGCCACCAAAGACAGAAATATGCTGGGGAAATAAAAGATAAAAATGACATGGCCATTTTCCTTCATTAACCCAGAAGACATGGGGAGACATAGACAAACAAATGAACAAACCAACAAACAAAAACCCCACACAGCACTGAGGGCTAAAGTGAAGGCATGTTGCAAATGTGGGAGCACCAAGGGAGATTTTTAACATAGCATCAGTGCAGGAAAAACTCGCTGTGTGCCTTCCCCCTGCTGGGCACCGTGCTGGATGGATGCCCTTTGGTTGGTTTCTTTGTTTTGCAAGCAGGATACAAGTTATTGGATTCAACTTTGAGTGTTTTGTTTGTGCCTTTTCTGTGTTGGCTGCAGAGTACCGGTGTAGTCTGTGTAGCATCCGTGGTTGGACCATCTGTGACGTGGCATTTCTTGCTTATAATGTTAACTATGTTTGAACTATGCCAATGATGCTACAGTGAGGCCCACAAATGGGCTAGGGAAAGCACTTGTTAAAATATCAAACTGTAATGAAAAAGAAGTCATGGGTGTTTTTCCATTAATCAAATTACATACTTGCTTAGATTTTAAACACTAACTTATTAAAAGGGGCCCCAATTATATCTTCCTTTCACAATGCAGGCAGTTTTTAGCCACAATTATCTGTTGTTATAAAATTGTACACACAAATAATTGCACCCACAATTGTCTAATTGTAGGCTGAGAATGAAGGGCAAGCAGTTCATTATTTCTCAGATGTCTGATGTTGCTTGTCATCGGCTGGTTGTGGCACAGTGATGGCACAGGCGAAGGCCCAGGGGACACCGTCCACTGGGCATGGACTTCAAGAGCAAAACCCCCTTCTTACATCTGTAAAGTGTGGTTTTCTCTGAAGAGACCTTTATTTTCCCAATCAACTTCTCACTTAGTACTAGCTTGCTTACTCTCTCTGTCTTGCTTCATCTGTTCTGATTTCTTTAAGAATCATCTTGTCAGCTTTGGGGATATGTCTATGTTATTTACTTTATTCCATTTTAAATTGTTTTCTTCATTTCTCTACCCTAACTTTTCTCACATAGAATAATATTACAAAAAACTTTTCCTTTTTATGGGAGGGGTGAACATGAGAGAAAAAATATTACTCTCTTGTTGGGATCAGTTTGTTCAAATTAGGAAGAAAAAGTAAAAATCTCTAACAATAGACAGATAAAACACATAGAAACAAACAAACAAATAAAACAGGGGCCTGGAAATCATGAGCATTCTTGTAGCAGCGTTCGTGTAAGAAGTTTTATTTTTATGGTGATGTCACTGCTACTCACCCACAGGACTGTGGGAAAATAGAGAGCATGCATAAAAGACAATAAAACAAACATTCTAATGTGAGCACTTTGTTTTTCCAAGGGTGTAATCATTTGCTGGAAGAAATGGGAGCAGCTCGGAATGAAGTGATTTAGCATCTAAGTGTAATAACTGAGATTAGAATTCTGAATTATTACCTCTGGGTCTACAGCATTACCTCTTCCCCTAACTGCTCAACTCCATCACCTCCAAGATATGTTGATTTCCATGATAAACAGATGCTTTCATGATAGACAATGTTATTAAGATTTCTGCTCCAGAGAGTTAGAATATTGGTCCTTAATTATTATTATTATTATTATTATTATTATTATTATTTTGCTTTCTTCACAGAAATGTATCTCTCTTTCTTTCAGATGCAATGAGATCAAAGTTTGTGCGGGAGACATTTCTATAATTAAATGTGCTACTTCAACTACATTTCTCACTCAGGGTCTTAACTTTGTGTGTGTCTAAATTTTGTGCCTATTCCTTTGATAATCTCCATTATATCCCCCTGTGATTTATAAATTCCATGAAACCCATTTTATAAATACTGGAAGATTATGGACAATAAAAGTTTGTAGAAAAGTCACAGTTGAAACAGAGTTTCTCACAAAATACTACCTTTTGAGAAAATATTACCAAGTATAATATAATTGTCTTCACTGACTATGCAGTCAGGGTGTCTTGACTGCAGACAACAGAGATCACTCCAGCTGTTGAAGCAGGAAGAGATTTATTGAAGGAATATTTGATAGCTCACAGGTTCTCCAGAATAGACAGGGAGCTAGGACTTCATACTACAAAGTCAGGAACAATGAGGCCAGGACATACACAGTCGGAACAACGCCCCAACACTCCATAGGGCCTTCCTACTAGGACAGATTGCAGCCATCGTCAGCCACTCAGCATTCCTGATGCTAGGACTCGGATGCCAGAGCCCTCCCTCTGACAACAGCACTGGAAAACTGCATGCCCTGCTGATTTTCTTACCAGAAAATTTGATCTCCCTGCATGTGGATGACTCTTGTGAGTCATTTCCACATGTAAATCTGTGTGCATAAATCTAACTTGTGGAAACTAGGTCCCTTGCCTGCCTCCCAACTATGAGAAAGTCTGGAAAATGCATTTTATAGCTTTTCATTTGTATTAGGGATGAGCAAACATTTTCTTTAAAGGACCTGAACATTTTAGGATTTGCAAGAATATGGTCTCTGTCACCATGCAGCTCTGCTATAGCACAAAAACAGCAATAGATGATACAGAAACAAGTGATTGAGGATGTGTCCCAATAAAACACTTTTTGTGGGCACTGAATTTTGAATTTCATAAAATCTTCACATGTAACAAAATGTTCATTTTTTTTAAATTTTTTTCATCTACTTAAAATGTGAAGAGCCCAAAAATAAATTCTCAAATATTTGATCAATTGATTTTCAGTAAAGTTACAAAGACCATGTGATGGGGAATGGTCTTTTTTCAAAAATGGTACTAGGAAAAGTATATTCACTAGGAAATGGTACTAGGAAAATAATAAGGTTGGACTCAGCATATATAAAAATTAACTCAAAATCGATCGAAGAATTAAATGGAAGAACTGAAACTAAAACTCCTGAAAGTAAACATCAGAGAAAGTCTTTATGACATTGGATTTAGCAATGATTTATTGGATATGACACCAAAAGCACAAGCAACAAAAAATAGGTGAATTAGCCCTGGCAGGTTTGGCTCAGTGGTTAGAGCGTTGGCCTGTGGTCCAGAGAGACCCGGGTTCGGTTCCCACTAAGGGCACGTACCTCGGTTGCAGTTTGTCCCCGGCCCTGGTTGGTCGCGCATGTGGCAGCCACTCAATGTGTCCCTTTCACATCAATGTTTCTCTCTCTCTCTTCCTCTTTCTCCCCTCCACTCTATCTGAACAACAACAACAACAACAACAAAAAGATGAATTAGACTTCATCAAAATTAAGAACTTTTGTGCATCAAAGGATACTTACTGTCAAACAGAGTAAAAAGGCAACCCACAGAATAGCAGAAAATATTTGCAAATCACATATCTTACAAGATAAATAATATCTAGAATATAGAAAGAAAGAACTTAAACTTAACAATAGCAACAATAAAAAACAATTCATGGTCAAGAAACATGAAAAAATGCTCAACGTCACTAATCACCAGAGAGATGCAAATTAAAATGACTATGACGTATTACCTGCCAGAATGGCTGCCATCAACAAATCCTCAAACAAGTGCTGGCTAGTATACTGCTGGTGGGGATGCAGACTGGTGCAGCCACTATGGAAAACAATACGGTGTTTCCTCAAAAATTAAAAATTGAACTTCCATTTGACCCAGTGATCCCACTTTTAGGAGTATATCCTAAAGCCTGAAACACCAATCAGAAAGTATATATGTACCCCTATGTTCATAGCAGCACTATTTACAATCGCTAAGATCTGGAAAAAGCCCAAGTGTCCCTCAGTAGACGAGTAGATAAAAAAAAACTGAGGTTACACAATGGAGTACTATGCAGCTGTAAGAAAGAGATCTCTTACCCTTTGCGACAACATGGAGGGACCTAGAGAGTACTATGCTGAGTGAAATAAGCCAGTCAGAGAAAGACAAGTGTGATATGATCTCACTTTTTTGTGGAATATAATGGAAAAAATAAGCTGATGAACAAAATAGATCTAAATACATGGACCTAGAGAACAGACTGACAAACCTCAGTGGGAAGGGGGATGGGGGAAGCAGGGAGAGATAAACCAAAGCACTTATATGCATATATGCACAACCAATGGACACAGACAACAGTGGGTGAAAGTGGTGGGGGGGTGGACTGGGGAGCAGGGTGTCAATGGGGGGAAAAACAAGGGACATCTGTAATACTTTCAACAATAAAGATAGTGTTTTTTTTTAAAGAGATAGTCATGGGGTTGTAAAGGACAGATAGGAAATATAATCAATAATATTGTAATAACTATGTACAGTGCCAGGTGGGTACTGGAAATATCAGGAGGAGCACTTTGTAAAGTATATGATTGTTTAACCACTATGTTGTACACCTGAAACTAATATAGAATAACATTGAATGTAAATTGTACTGAGAAAAATTTAAAAAGAAAAATAATTAAAAATGGACAAATGGCACTAGCTGGGTAGCTCAGTTGGTTAGAGCATTGCCAAGGTTGTGGGTTCAATTCTCTGGTCAGGGCACATACAAGAATCAACCAATTAAAAAGGTTTTTTTTCTTTCTTGATTTTATAGAGAGAGGGGAAGGGAGAGGGGGAGAGAGATGGAAACATTGATGAGAGAGAACATTGGCCGCCTCCTGCATGCCCCCCACTGGGGATTTGGCCCACAACCTGGGCATGTGTCCTGACCGGGAATGGAACTGGCAACCTCTTGGTGCATGGGTCAGTGCTCAACCACTGAGCCACACCAGCTGGGCAAGAATCAACCAATTAATAAGTAAATAAGTGGCCCAACAAATCGATATTTCTCTAAAATCAATTTTTAAAAATGGACAAAGGACACTGAATCGACACTTCTCCAAAGAAAATATACATCATTAGCCACTGGGGAAATGGGAAATGGGAATTAAAACCACAATGAGTACCACTCCATACCTTTTAGGGTGGCTACTATAAAAAACTAAAACAGGGCCCTGGCTGGTTTGGCTCAGCGGTTGGAGCGTCGGC